GAGGTGCCCCATCGGAGTCGCACTCGTGGGGTTTGAGACGCGCCCCGTCAAGGCCCACGGCGTTGCCCCTGCGGCCCGAGCCCGCGCCCGCGGCCCCTGCCCCCCCCCCCCCCCCCCCCCCCTCTACCCTCCCCCTCCTGAAGCTCGCGAAGGTGTGCCGACGTCGCACTCGGAAAAGGTGGCTATTGAAGTGCGGTGGCATTTGCCCTTGCCATGGCCTTTCCGATTGATGGCCCTCAGGACGCGGCGCGTGGGCTCGACGTTGTCGAAATTGCGCTGGCGTGTTTCGGCGCGCCCGTGAGCCCCGGAAGAGGTGCGCGCGGCGTTGTCTCACGGGGGTGTCGCGTTGCTCGAGTATCGTCGCCGGCTATCTCCTCGTCGAATGGGGCGGCGTCGGCGCCGGTGCCTGAGTCGATCTCTGCTTCTGGGCGCGCCCCCTGCGCCGGTGGCGCCGCGCCAAAGTCGCGGCCCCCAGACGCGGCCTCGGCTGGCACGGGGGGGATTTGGTGCCGATCCCAACGCAGCAGGGCCCGCGCCGTCCCAGCTCTGCTCCCGCGCGGGCGTGTCCGTCAGGAGCGCGCGCCGCTGGGCAGCGCGAGGCGCGGTTGCCTGCCGATCCCTCTATCGCGTACCCAGGGCGTCTCAGCTGGCCCGTCACGCGGGCGAGCTGCCGCGCGCTCGTAGGCCGCGCTGCGGCGGCGCAGGAGTATGAGAAGTTGAACGTTCGACGCGCCGGCGGCGCGTAGCTGGAGGAAGCCGAGCCCCTCGCGGCCGATCATGAATGCCCAGCTTGCTGCGCCTGGTTGCGGAGAATGTCGAACCTCGCCAGGAGGTTGTGGATGCGCTCCTGCGGCAGTCGGTCGAGATTCGCCTGGGCCGAAGCTGCAGTGGCGCGCTCCTCCTCGCGCAGCTGGCCCCATCGTTCGGCCGAGCTGAGCGTCGAGGAGGCCATCGGCGGCGCTGGGTCGCCGTTGATGGACCCCCCCTGGGTAAGGGCAGCCGGAGGCCATCCGTCCACGCGCTCGCGCGTCGTGCTGGTCAGGCGCGGGGATGCGCAGGCTGCCTGGCGAAACTCGTCGAGGTCGGAGTTCGCAACTGACCGGGTCATCACCTCGCGCGCCCATTCCTGCATAGGCGCGCGCGCTTGGTTCTCGGGGCCCCGCCGCCTGCGTCCGCGCGGGCGACGCAGCTTGCGATGGCGCGCGCTCCAACCCCGACGGCCCCGCGCCTGGAGAGCAGCTCTCTCCGCCGGTCGATCTGGCGAGGTGCCGGAGGCCAGGGGTCCTCGAGCGGCGTCGCGTGAGTCGCCGAGGATACCCGCTCTGGATGCGTTCCCCCTCGTCAGCGCGCTGGGCGTCTGCCTTTGTCGCGTCACCGCGGCGCTCGCGGTGCTCAGAGCACCCCGCGACGTAATCGCGCGAAGTCTCTCCAGGGTCGCGCTGTCGCTGCGTTGAACGCCGCTAATTGCGTGGCCGTCTTGAGGACTGCGCATCGAGATCCCGCCCTGCCCGGCTGGCGGGTCTGAGCAAGCGAAGCGAAGGGTCGGGCTCCGCGGCGTGTTGCCTCGGGGCGACGGCGCCCCGGTCGTCGCGCCACCCGCTGCTTCCTCGCCTGGCGCTGGCAACGCAGTCGCCGGATGTTTCTTGTCTGATTGCATCTCACAGGGCTGTCGAAACGCTGTTCAAATAAGCTCGGGACCTTGTTCTGACGCCACCGATGCGAACGGTCGAGCAAACTACCCCCGCGGGCGGGGGCGCCGATAGTTCGGGGTCCGCGAACTGCCTGGGCGCAATCCGAGCATGCCCAAGATAGGTCGCACAGCGGTCCCTGTAGATCTGGGAGAAGTTGTCTTCGCTCAGGCACTGGCTGCGCGCTCGCTGGCCCTGGCGGATGGGCGGATGCCCAGAAGGACCGTCGACTCACGTCTCTTGCCATGGTGAGCGGGAAGAGGTGCACGAAGGCGGAGGTGTTGAAAGCGGTGTGCGAGCTCCGGGTGGCGGGTCCTGGGAGGAAGAGCTCGAAGGCGTAGAGGACGGAAGCAGTTGCGGTCGACGCGAAATGAGACATGGCGGCCGTGGTGGGAGCAAGCATGAACGCGCTCCGTTACCAAATAGAAATTTACATGTAAAATGTGAAGGTGTGCCTTGTCAGAACCCTGGAGAAGGCGGAGTGATATCTGGCCACCAGGAAGATACCTGAAGGCGCGTCTAAGGCGGGCACGTAAGCTTGGCCAAAAACCGCGCGCCCCAGAGCAACAAGGCAGCGGCAAGAGGAGCCATTGCAACGGGCAGAGGTCAGAAGGGACAGTTGGGCTACCGGTCGAGTGGGAGGGGGGAAGATGGAGGGGAGGAGAGGAGAGGAAAAGAGGAAACGCGGGGCGTTGTCTATTGAAAGCTGGGACCCATCACCACAGGATGGCGTGGAACTACATCATCTTCGCATATGGAGTGCGGATATGTTTTTCGACATGTGGCTCTCGCTTTCGCGCCGTGCACGCTCGCACGAAAACGCTCTTAGCCGAATCCAGGGTTCTGGTGGTTGACGTCCATAAAATCGCGGTCGGGTGCGATGTAGGACCGACAGGGTGCAAGTCGCATTGGTTCGCGGTGTAGGTATCCTAGGAGTGATGTTCTGGCGCGAACAGGAATGTTGAGTAGCGGCGTTGACGTCCTAGGAATTGTGTGTTTCGCACGGTTCGTGATTTTCAAGCCATTGTCTTCCAACGGTGCACTTCCCCGTGTGGACACAAAAACCTTTAAAAGGTGCCCATGGAGAAAGAACCTGGAGGTGGGGCTCAATGCAACATCGTTGATGAGTATTGGGTTTGCACGGGGTCCTCCTCGTCCTCCTCCTCCTCCTGCTTCTCCTCCTCCTCCCCCTCCTCCTCCTATGCCTCCTATTCCTCCTATTCCTCCTCTTCCGCCTCCTCCTCCTCGTTCTCTTCTTCTTCTCCTCCTTCTTCATGGTCTCTGCTTGTTAATCTTATTACTATTATTTTCTTCTTCCTCCTTCTCCTCCTTCTCCTCCCCCCTCGTCCTCCTCCTCCTCCTCCTCCCCCTCCTCCCCATCCTCCTCCTCCCCATCCTCCTCCTCCTCCATCTCCTCCTCCTTCTCCTACCTCCTCCTCTCCTCCTCCACCACCCCCATCTATTCACCCCACCGTCTGCCCCTCCTCCCCTCTACTGTGCGTCCCCTCCCCACCGTCTCCTCCTCCTCCTCGTCCTCATCGTCCTCCTCTCGCTTACTATTCGTATGTTCTCTCTCCGCCCTCTCCTCTCCTCGTCCTCATGTCCTCCTCTTCCTCCCTATCTCAATGCCTCCCCTCCCCTTCTCCCCTCCACAAGTTCGTTCCCATGTCCCCTCCTCCCCCTCGTCTCGTCCTCTGTCCCCGACTGTCCTCTTCTCCTCGTCCTCTTCCTCCTCCTCTTCCTCCTCCTCATCGTCCCCCTCCCCCTCCCCTTCCTCCGCCTCCTCCTCCTCCTCGTCCTCGTCCTCGTCCTCGTCCTCGTCCTCATCCTCGTCCTCGTACTCATCCTCCTCCTCTTCCCCTTCCCCCTTTGCCTCTTCCTCCACGTCCTTGTCCTTCCCTCCTCCTCCTCCTCCTCCTCTGCCTCCTCCTCTTCCTCCTCCATGTCTGCTCCTTATGAGTAGCTCCTTGTCGCACCCGGGGCAAGTTGTTTGGGCGTTGTGTCTGAGACTTCCTCACCATGTATGACTCGGCGGCGTCAACGTTGACAACAGTTTCACAAACGGGCGGGTGGTTTTCGAAAACATGTTTCTCGCCTTAGCGCCGCGCGCTCTCGTCTGAACACATTGCAGGAGCTTCGCGGATTGAGGGCGAACGTTTTCACAATGTGGCTGTCGCTTTGGCGCCGCGCACATCGTTGCAAATATTTGCAAGAACTTCACACGGATTGAAGGCGGTTCCTTTCAACATGTGGCTCTCGCCTCAACGCGGCGCACACTCTTCGTAAAGCATTGCAAACGCTTCACGGATTGAGGGCGGTCCCTTTTCGAAATGTGGCTCTCGCATTAGCGCCGCGTGCATTCGTTTTAAACACTTGCAAGAGTTCCGCGGACTCCCATGGTCAACGTACCAGACATGGTGTTTGGAGGGATTCAGGCTTGTGAGGGTGCACGAGTTATGTTGATTCGAGGTGCTCATGTCCCAGGAGTAGCGTTCTGGCGCGATCCAGGATCGTCAAAACGCAACAGGCAGGTTGATCGGCGTTGGAATACCGGAAACTATGTTTTCGCCTGCTTCAGGGTCTTCAAACACTTGTTCCACCGAGACGGTTCCCTCAGTAAGAATGAACCGTCGTAGGGGCCTATGAAGAAGGAGCTTGGAGGGAGGGTTTATTCCAACCTCGTTGATGCCTCTTGGATTTGTACTGGTCCTCCTCCTCCTCCCATCCTCCTCCTCCCTTCCTCCTCCTCCCTTCCTCCTCCTCCTCCTCCTCCTCCTCCTCCTCCTCCTCCTCCTCCTCCTCCTCCTCCTCCTCCTCTTCCTTCCATTTCTTCCTCCCTCTTCCCTTCCCCCCTAACCGTCGTCCCGCCCTGCCCTTTGCAACCGCGCGTGCGGAGGTGCCCCGCACACGCCTGTTGGGCGTGAGTTACTGCGGGGGCGATGAATGGGGGGGGAGAGAGAGGTGCCCTTTTCGGGCTTAAGGATCCCCTTTGGGGACCCGAAAATAAAAAGGACCCGCTTAGGGCCCTCAGGGGCCCCTGTTCGACAACCCTCGCCGCCCCCCCACTTATTGCCCCTCCCCTTACTAGGAGGCCTCCTAGATGGGGTCGGAGGGTCGCGCCGCATCGCTGATACATCGGCGATGTATCGGCGATGCAACGTCGACACCGGCGGTGCATCGGCGACGTCGACGTGGTGCAAGTCGGGCTCCACATCGAGCCGCAACGCCAATGCATAGGCGATGCGGCGCGATCCTCCGACCCCATCTACTCCGACATCATTTACGAGGCCTATACTTACGCGTCCCCCAAGCCTTCACGTAGTCGCAGGCCCCGGGCGTGATGTAGAAGAGGCAGAGCACGAGGCACAC